CCCCAAAACCCCAAAACCCCAAAACCCCGAAGTAGAAGAATTTAGTAGAATTTATTAGAATTTATAAGTATGGAAATTGGGTATGGCCAGGTGGCCAAACTTGTGACCAAGATTAATTATGTTAGCCATATTATTAAGTATTATGGGTATGCTCAAGAATGAGCTGAACTTTTCAAGCTCCTCTGAAAAGATTCTCAAAAAGAGTGGAATGATAATCAGAAAGCCATAGTCAATGTGATCATGCATAATGAAGAATGTAAGATGACCATGGATCTCAAAGAAATTAGGAACGAAAAAGTCTTCGAATATTTGCTTAAAGGAGATAAGTTCAATTATTACTCAATAATGGCCACAGTATGCAGAAGGTCAAGATATAAGAGCCTTACCAAGTTTATTGAAAATGCAATTCAAAGAAATACAGAGTTAGGCATTGAGAATAAAAATCTGTTCAATTCTATTTTCCTTGATTGATCTTTATATTTCTTCGAGATGAAGAAATTCATTGAAGATTATGATCAGTCAGGACTAAACTTAGACAAACTTTACTTTAAGTATACTCATAGCCTTCTAGAAAGTGTTGCTGATGGACTTGAAAAATATGAACTACCTTTTATATACATTGACGAATTCTATCCCAATCGTGTAAAATCATTAGATCTCTTCGATAAATGAATGGCAATGAAGATCTTCAGACCTTGTAAGATTACCCAAGACCATCTCAGTAAATAGCTACAAAAATCTAAAACTTGAATATCCGATGATACATGATATCTGAGAATTACTTGGAGAAGATCCTTTTCAAAATACTTGATGAAAAACTCTAACTTTTCAACTTCATGACTTAATGTTTGGAGAAGACGATTATTTCAATCTTGATACTTTGAATAAGTTCTGAGGATACTTCCCGAACTTAACCCGATTTGAGTATGACAATGTTATGGATTTTTAACGTACTCAGTCAGAGATTGCTTATCAAAGATTTAAGCCAAGGATATTCTAACCTTCAAAGAATAAGTTCGTTCCAATTTGGTACTGAAGTTTACGAAGAAGATAGATCAATTGAAGTGAAGAAGTCAGAAGCAAAATTTATAATTAAGACCAAACCAAGTGAAAATAATCCGGAAGGATTCTGTGCCTTTCAAGCTGATCAGTTATGATATATTGGAAATTTTAATGGACCTTTTGATAAATAAAGGAGATATTCTTATGATTAGGATCAAGGATATGATTTTGTCAGAGAAGTTAGATTTTATTGAATTTATTAGAATACAACAGAAAAGCTGAAGAGCAGGAACATTTGCAGAAGCTATAAATAGGATTAAAGAATTTGAAGATGTCCAAGAAGGAAGTATTTTCATTCTTGATATCCCAGAAATTATTATTAAATCTGTCAGCAAAAATATATAAAAATAAAGAACAGTATTCAGAACACAAGGCCTTCTTACTCCATAACAGTATTATGTTATAGAGATACAAATCCAAGAGTACCTTCACAAATAATAACCGATCTCGAAGTTGAAATTCTTTCAAAAATTGAAGAGACTATTTCAAAGCTTCAATCACAACTAGTATCAATCTACTTCATACCAGCCGCATCACCACCCCCTACTATCTTCCCATCCACTAAACCCCTTAGCCCAGCCCCTTGCTTAACCCCTTGCCTCCTCACTTTACTCAGTGAGACCCATCTACAAGAACTCAGGTGCAAACACTCTTTATTAGACGACCTGCACACTTTTGACTTGTTCTGAGAATTCTTAAGGCAGAACACTGCTTTAAGGGATTTGTCACTGAAACTGAAGCAGAAGGGACAGTGTAAGAAAATATTAGAAGCAACACAAGAGAACTACATCCTCAAAACCCTAATCCTACATTGCCCAAAGATCACCACCGAAGAAACAATCCTTGCAAAATCCTTCACTGACCAAAGAATAGCACTCGAAATAAAGCTTATCCAAAAAAACACACAGATATATCCTCCCAAAAAGACTCCTTTCGTTACATATTACCCTGAGTTATGCTAATACCTTATAAAAGATCAACTTGTCCTCCACAGTGGGCGAGGGGTCTGGAAGAGACATTTAAGTACGGATTTTGGGAATTAAGGGACTGGGATAAAGGGAATAGGTATTACTGTAGTTTCAAGTTCAGAATGATTGAATGGGGTTTTGGGGTTTTGGGGTTTTGGGGTTTTGGGG